CATAACCACGTCGGGAGTGCATTATTTCTCTAATAATTTGAATGGCCTGGAGTCACAATCACACATCAATTGTTCAGATGATTTGTTTCAAGACATTTGACATGTTTTCGTCCTGAAATCTCGTGTGTTGAACTAGCAAATTTTTACGCACCTCATCCCAAACCTTCCGTTGCAAATTCCAAAACGTCATTTTAGAGCTGATAACAGAGGCTTGAGCCATTGATATGCAGTTTAACGCAGTTATTAGAGACAGAGCGAAAGAGAGAGATTAAGTGCATGTGAATCTCTGCGTCTGTGCATCTCTCAGCAGTGTTCAGCCGCAGCGTCTACTAATAGCGAATCTTTAAGTTGAACTGCTTCAAGAACCTCGCAACTGAGAAATGTCATGTAGCTTTTCAGCTGCGAAACCATTTTATTGATAAATTCGTGGGGCAGCCGCAGCTCCGACAACAAGTTTCTGTCCGCGTCTCCGCGAGTGTGCGCGAGTGCGTGTCTGTACTGTCTGTGTGTATGTCTGTGAGAGAGAACAGGAGAAAGAATGCGTGATTTCTGTACATAAAAAAAGGTTGAAGACATGGAAATAGTTTGTCATTTTTACCCTATTCTTTGTTATATTTATTTACATATATTTACATATGTTATATATATTTATTTAGTCTTCTGGGGTTTTAGTTCTTTAACTGTTGTAGATATCCCATAGTATAACAAAAATATTATATATCTCTTCATTGTGTTTGGGCCCCCCCTGGACGAGTAAGCATAGGCACGTGCCTAGAATGCCTATACGTAAATCCGGCCCTGCTCGTTCTGCATTCACACAGAGCAGATTACCGGTAATTTACTGATAGCCTAATGTTACAACTTCTCATACCAGTAAATTGCTGCAACGAGTTTACCAGTATTTTTGAAAAGGTCCTGTTCACACAGGATCTCTTTATGGTAATTTACCAGTAAAGTCTGTATGTGTAAAAGGGGCTAAAGACTTGCGTGGTTATAGCACGCCACGGCAGCCGATGCAATGCTCGTTCCCTTATCTCAGGGAACCGAGGTTACACAAGTAACTGGAGCGTTTCCTTTCAAATGGTCTCTCCCAGGGGAACGCATCCAACAGTGCTGTGCTATATGGACGAAGCCACTCGCGAGCCCAGCCCCGGAGCACTCAAGCTGAGGGCCCCTGTAAGCATAAGCTAATAAAGAGACCCAAGCCTTTGAGGCTGAGTACTACATAATATGACCCTTCCCACTTACCAAAGGGGGTTAGGTAATTAAGCAGGCACGTCCAAGTTATAAAACCTGGCGAAGGTAGACGCCGGCGGCCGCACATATATATCGCCAATAGAAATCCCGCTGGACCACGCCCAGGAGGAGACCATTCCTCTAGTGGAGTGGGCTCTTACCCCTATAGGACACTGCAAGCCCTCTGATTATTATTATTATTCTCAGTGTTTTCTCAGCAAAAACAAACTCAATCATATCATCATATAAAAACAATTCATATTTCAGATGTACATTCATTTGGAAAAAATCCAGAAAATGAAACGGACCTGAACTGATTTGTGGGATTTTTAATGCTGAATCCAAATTTTCACACAAACTTCAAGAATCTTTTGTGTCATATTATGGTAGACCATTATATAAATAAAAATATCCCAAAAACATCATAATAGATTTTAAATAACACAACCACAGACAATCATCATTCATATATTTCTTTAGTTTGCTTTCTTGCATACCAGTGTTGAGTACGTTGAAATAGACATGTTTGCTGCTATACTTATGAGAGATTTATGATCTTATAATGTAATATCTGTTGTCACAATATTGACATGCCTGTGACGTCATTTCTCTCTCTCACTTCACTCTTGGTTTTAAAACCAAATATTATGCATGACTATTATTATTAAAAAGCATCATCAACTACTATTATGTAGCTGCTTTCACAACTTTAAAACGTATACACAATGTATTAGTCTCCCTAAATGTCTCTTCTACTCTTAAAATACACTAACATGACCTAAATGAGCAGCACACACACAGTCTGAGGTTGAATTTTGTCTGTCTTTGTTTCACTCGCTGCGGTCCATTGGTTCCCTGTATTTCCACTGGATGTAGTCAAAGATGTCCTTCTCACTGTCCACCAGCAGAGGCTCTCCAGCCACACCAGCACATCACACATCAGCTACAAAGTAAACCAGCAGCAAGTAAATTAGACTTCTGGATGGACAGAAATTCAAACCCCTTGTTCAAATACCCACACTTGCGGTCTTGGCCACTTGAGAACGCGTGCGTGTGACAGGAAGTAAGTGCGCAAAGACTGTCCCAGGTCTTAAAAACGTCAAAGCGCAGTCCCCTTAACTAGGGATGCAACGAACTGTGCTCTGTAAACATCGATGACAGTATTTCCCTTTTGAAAATAACTAATTAAAAAGTATTTAGTGTTTTCACTTTGTACATTCTATATTTCTTTTGGACCTGAGGTAGAGAACTTTGGAAACATGGTGAAAAAAAATCTTGTTGGTTTTTGACATGAATAAAACGGGGATAATAAATACCAATGTTAACGAAGCATTATTAATATAAGACTAATATTAATTTTATTTATCCCACAGGGGAAACTAAATGAGGGGAATAAACGGAACTATTATTGTAATCAACTGTCATCCATACGTATTCATTTTAATAATATTTATAATGATTCCTATGATTTTACACGTGGCCTGAAAATAATAATGAGCGCGTTTACATGCACGTTCTTAAGCCGATTATGCTTAATAAGCCGAAAAC